CTGGCACAGCTGGATCCTGTCATGCTGGGATTGCCTCCAAGCCTAGGAGAACCTTGCCAACCCAGTCCCCTCCAGCCACCCCCTCATGTGTCCCAAATCCAGCTCCCCAGCAGCTCGGGTACACAGGGACAGGTAAAGGCCTCCTCAGCCCAACAACGTACCCCCACAGCTGGAAGGAGGGTCTGGGGGCACATTTCCCTAGCACATCCAGCAGCCCCACAGCCACAGAGATGGGCTGAGCTCCTCAGGCCTCTCTGCACCTCGTTAGGAAAATGAGCCCTGCTGCAACATCCCATCTCCAGGCTGGTCCCCAGATGGGCCAGACTCACCCCAAGAAGCACCCAGATGAGCCAGAGTGACCCTCTGGGATCAGCAAGGGACCCAGTGCTGGGTTGAAATACAGCTCAGAGAGGTCACTGAGGATGCTTTGGCCCCGCTCAGTGTTTTGGGGACGGCTGGCTGAGCAGTTGCATCTGGCACAGCCCTGGAGAGAGGTGCCGGGTCATCTCGGAGTGAGAGGAGAGAGAGGTGACCTCTGTGCCTGGCTGCTCAGGGAGCAGGAGGGCCAGCCCACGGCCACTGGCAGAGCCATCCCAGCCCTTGGCCAGCTGCCCTTGGCCAGTGGCACGGCACAGCACATCCCTTCACAGCCACTGCACGCAGAGCCCACCCCGTGCTGCACCAACATCAGGGGTATTTTTAGCCTGGAAAAGTGCCACAAAATCATAGAGCGACATTAGCTGGAGTTGGGACTGATGTCTCCGTTCACCTTGCAATCCCCTCTGGGTCACCCTGCCCAGCTTGGGGAGGCAGTGGGTCCTGCTGGCACTGCTGCAGAAGCACTGAGCACCCACCAGGCTCCCCAGTGCCACCCGTCCCCTCCTCCCATGCCATGGTGGCTCTTTCCCCTAAGAGCAGCCCCAAATTCCCCCAGCAACCCATGAAATTCCAGAGCCACTGAAGGGGACATCTTGCCCTGTCCCTCTGGTGGCTACACCCAACCCAGTGCCCGCTTGCCCTGCTGAGATGGGGGGGTGGGTTGGGCTCTCTGCCCATGCTCTGCTGCCAGTGGGGCCTCAGTCCCCCAACCAAAGCACCACCACAGTTATTCATCCCTTAGTCACACATCTATTGCCATGAGATGATTTCTGCTCCTGCTGGGAAAGGAAAGCACCCATAGCCTGTTATACAGCTTCTCCAGGGAAAGACGGGGACCAGCATGACACTGGAAAACCAGAGGAATGTGACATTGCAGGAGAGCACAGCACCCAAACTGCGCTCATGCCACGGGGAGCTGCAGGCTGAGGGCAATGCACAGCCACCCATGAGAGTGTGTTCTGTCCAGCATTCATTTCACACCCCATTAAACGCCTCAAAATGTTTGCTTTGGGGGACTCCGTCACCATGTCCACCCCGGGGCTGAGGGGCTGTCCTGAGTGCAGGCACGTGGGGTTTTCCTATTTGTTTTGCTGTTTTCCTTAGAAACAGTTATGAGACTGTGTCTGCTTTCCCTTCCTTTCACAGGTCAGGGGTTTAAAAAAGGAAAGGACAGATGACATAGCCCTAAACTGAAGGCACAGAGGCCTTGAATCTTTCACAAGGAGCGCTTTGGTCCCCAGGGCTCATTAAGCATTTAAGCAATTGGTCGAGAGAAGAAACACAGAGCAGCACTTGCACGCTGGCTGGCAGAGCCCTCTGCACTCAGCAGCTCTGTTTCACACCTTGGTTTCTGCAAAAGAAAATCCCAGTCCTGGGGCAAAAGAGACAGGAGGATGTCCAAAGGTGACTGGGTTGGCTGGGAGCCTTGGGAGAGGGGAAGGAAAGCAGGAGAAAATTAGGAGACAGGATGGAGATGCCTGCTGTGTAGTGCTCTCCAATTACAATAAGTAGAATCTCCCAGAGCATCTGCCTTTGTGCCTGATGAATTGCAGAGTTGTTGTCCTGTCCTGTCCTGTCCTATCCTATCCTGTGCCAGCCCTTCACTGGGTCTGGGGCTGAAAGTTGCAGAACGAGTGATGCTCCCAAAATGGGAGCTGCCTCTAAGCTGCTATCAAACTCTCCCCAGAGCCCCCTGCCCTCCAAGCCTGCTGGAGGGGAGCTGGAACAGGTTGCTTAAAACCCACCACAAACCCATGCCCACCTGAAGCTTCTGTCCCTCCTGATGCTTCAGGTTTTTCTGGCTCCAGAGCAAAGACAAATCCCTGTGCTCACTCCAAAGGACAGCCCAAGGAACAGGGTGGGCAGCAGTGTCCTGGCCCCCGGCCCCTGGCAGGATGCTGCTGCTGGGGGAGCCCAGGAAGGAGCAAAGTGTGCTCCTTTGCCCTCTGTCCTCCCTCTCACTCACCCCTCAACACAAATGGCACAAAATAGATCTTACAGGTAGCTGTTCATCCCAAAATTGAGCTTAAGCACCTCAAGCTTTTCTCTGGAAAAAACCTCAAACCTCAGAGCGGTTGAATCACTCAACCCGTCGTAACTGTCTTGTCTGCAAATGCACTACAGGGTTTAATTTATCAGGCAGGATTAAATATATAGATGTGGCAGTGCAGGGCTGAGCAGCAGAGAGGGGTTGGGACACAGGCAGTGTGGATTGGCACAGCCCTTCTCCAGGCTCTGGAGCAAGGCAGATTTGAGGCAGGTAAGTATCTGGCCCCAGGGAAACAGTTTGATGTGGGCTCAGAGGCAGTGGAGAGAACGGGGAAAGAAGGTACCATGCTTGTCTCCCTGTCTCAGCAACCCCAGTCTGTTGCCTGCATCTGCCCCATTAGCAGAGCCTGGCACTGTGACAGGGACAGCTCTGGGGCAGGGACGCAGGGAAGTCCAGGTCTGGGGTCTCCACCAGGCTGGCAGCTGCTGCCCACACCCTGAGTCAGGGCATGGTCCTCGTCCCGTGTCCCTTGCCTGGTCTTGCTGCCTCTGGGAAGAACAGCCACAGGACAACCTGGTGGTGGATGCCTGTCTCCAGGAGCCCAGCGCTGGCAGCTGCCTGCTGCAGGCATCTCTGCTGCTCACAGAAAACTCACCTCACGCTCTGATTTGAGGAACACTGGAAGAAACCTATTCTTGTCACTCCCAAAAATCCCCTGGCCAGGATGAGGCGCAGTGCCTGGGATCCCCTGGGCACAGCTGGGCTCTGCTTTTGCAGCTCCTGCTCCATCCCCCCAACCCAGCCAGCAACAAATCAGCACTGCCTTTGCCCGCCTTCATTTTCTTAGAGCTTATTTTCAGCGCTGCTTCACTCCTCTCAGTGCAAGCTGCCTGCAGAGCTGCAAGGTGGGCAGGAGGGCTATGGCTGCACCTTTTCCCACAGTCCTATGCATCAGGGAGCCACACTGGCTCCACCAGCTTCTCCAAGGGTGTTGTTGTCTCTGCCCCAGGGCTCTGCTGACCGCAGCATGTGTGGCTTGTGGCTGGTTACCTTGAGAGCCCATGCTCATGCTCACTTGCCCCACTGGCTCCACAGCCACTCTGAGCACTCCCAGGCCCCTTGGCTAATGCAGGCACACCGTGCCAGTGCCTCAGTTTCCCCAGAGAGCAGAGAGAATGCACTGGCTCCCCTCCTCCCGGCAGTGTCAGGTCCGTTTAGCTCGGGCAGTGTGGGAGAGGAGCTGTCACACAGTGCGTGCTTGCTCTGCGCCCCGGGGCTCCAGATTGTTCCTTGCGCCTCCCAGCACCGTGGCCCGGTAAACATTAATATCAACAGTAATCAGAGGAGACTTATCCCAGCTCCTGGTGCTGGAAGAGCCAGGGAGTGGAGATGAGGGCTCCTGCACGCTGCCTTGCAGCCAAATGCCTGCTGCCCACAAGGCACCCCAAGCTCAGCCTCGCACAGCCAGCCCTCACTCCTGTTGCCTCCCTACAGCAAATCCATCGGGGAGCTCTCAAAATCCTGCACAGCCCCTCACTTGCCCTGGGGAGAGCGGGCACAGGGGCACAATGCTCTCCTCCTCCTCCTCCTCCTCCTCCTCCTCCTCCTCTGAGATCCTCCTCTGTGGACCCCTGCAGCAGCAGTTGTACAGCAGCTCCGAGCCATTATCAAGCTGCAATTAATATAAATAAACAAGATGAGCCAGCCACAGTAGAGTGAACGGAAACCTGACTGACATACCCTCCGGGAATCATTTATTCTGCACTTTTATCTTTTTTTAATACTATTTACTTCCTTGCAAATCAATCACAGATTGCCTAGGACGAGAGGCTTGGCTGGGTGACCCCAGGGGACAGGGCAAAGGCAGGCGAGCAGTCCGAGTCCCAGCCCTGCCTCTGCCGCCCGGCTAACAAGCAGCTCCCCTCTCTCTGCCTTGGTTTTCCTCTCCCTGGCAGCCGCTGCAGCTCCCGCACCACGCTGACATGATTGTCCATCTTGTGTTCTGCCCCTACCGAGGGACACAATCGTCCATGTGCTGAGCCCCTGGGAAAGGCAAGCGCGGGGTCCCAGCGGGAGGGCTGAGCACCCGGGGTCTGGGGCTCCTGCCTGCCGACGGGCCGGCCCTGGGCTGCGGCCCCGGGGCCAGGAGGAAGGATTTAGGAGCCCGGCTTTTCCCAGCCGCTCCCTTCCATCCGACGGGCAGTACCTCTGGGACATCCCTCAGCCCCTGCACAGCCCTCGATCCCAGCACATCCCTCAGCGCGGCACGTCCGCTGATCCCAGCGCGCTTCTCGTCCTCGGAGCGTCCCTCGCACAGCCATCAGCCCTGCCACATCCCCAAACCCCACCGCATCCCTCGACCCCGGCACACCCGCGCATCCCCCAGCCCCGACACCGGTGCGCCCCTTCCCAAACTCCAAAGGGGTCCCTCCCGCCCCGCCCGAGGAGCCCCCACGGAGTTCCCGGAGAGCCTGGGCAGGGCGGCCGCGGCCCCGAGGGGACGGGGAGGAGGCGGGCACGGGGCCGGGAGCCCCCCACCGCCGCGCCCGCCTCCTCCCTCCGCGGCGGGCGAGGCTCCGCCCGGCTCCCGGGGCCCGCAGCCGCCCGGCGCCCACCCCGCGGCGGGCGCCCGGACTATGAGGAGCGGGACCGGGCGGGGGGCGGCGGCAGCGGCGGCAGCGGCCCCGGTGCGGCGGGAGCGGGAGCGGGAGCGGGGACGGCTCCGCCGCCGGCCGGGTCATGCCCGTGCGCCCGGGGCGGCGGGGCTGCGGGCTGCGGCGGGATGGGCGCGCTCCGGGCCGGTGCCCTCGCCTTCCTCCTCCTCCTCCTCCTCGGCTGCCTCCTGCCCCGGCGCGGCCCGCTCAGGTGAGCGCACGGCGCGGGTGCTCGGGTGCTGGCGGGGCTGCGGGGACCGGGGCTCTCCGTGCCGCTCCCTCGGCACCCCCAACCTCCGGGAGCCACGATTCCCCTCCGGGACCTGGGTATCATCCCCTCCCAGATAGATAGATCTCTCCTGCGGGACCTGGGCATCCCCTTCCTGACCCGGAGGAGCCTCGGGACCCGTTCCCCGACCCCCGATCCGGACCTCCCTCCAGAGCATGATCCCCCTAGCCAGAACGCTCTCAGCCCCTATCTGGACGTCCCCACAGGCCACTGGAGCTCCCGCAAATCTGGTCTCATCCCCCTATTCCCCAGGACTCTGACCCAGCATCCTGGAGGACCCAACAGACCTTTCTCCTCAAGGCCCCCTACACACACAGTCAGGCTCTTTGCCTCTCCCCAGCAGCCCCTGCCCCAGTGCTGGGTCCCTGTATGTCCCCCTGTCCCCGGGCCAGCTGGGGAGTCTTGTCCCAGTGGGAGAAAGGGCGAGCTGAGCCAGGTGATAGTCCAGGCATCTCCTTCTCTGGTGCTGCAAAGCCCCTGCTATGTCCAGACCCTCTTCTGGCTCGTGGGGTGTGGGGGGAGGAGAGCTCAGGACAGTCCCTGACCCAGCCCCTGGTCACTTGGCCCAGTAGGTGGGTGCCCCAGGTCCCATGGGTGTAGGAATAACCACTGGCCCACTTGGGTGGAAAATCTAAAGCCCCCATGTGCCTTTTTCCATCTCTGTCCACCTTGGGTGCTGTCTGGGATGGAGTGGGATGCAGGGGAGAGCGGGCCAGGCAGGGAGGGTTTTGGGGGGCTGCAGTGCTCCTGGGCTGAGCCTCCTCCCTGCCCCCACTGTCCCTCCCACCACCCGGCCAGTGGCTGGAGCAGCACGGCAGGGGAGGGAACGGCAACATTTGTGGCAGGGAGGGGGGAAATGGTATTGCTTCACCCGCAGAACTGCTTGTCTCTGCGGGGGTGGGGGGGCACTTTTAGGCAGACATTAGCGTTTTCCAGCCCTTCCACCCACTCGCTCCCCAGAGGTGCTGAGCTCCCTGCAGCACCTGGATCCTGTGGCAGAGGCCCCCAGGGCAGGCAGTGCCAGTGGTTCACAGCTATGTGGCAGGGAGGGGCCTGACTTAAATCCTTTCTACCCTGGCCTCTTGGAGTCCTCCTCCCCAAGGCACCACACCTTGCTATTGCAGCTCCTGGATGGGGAATTTCTCCCACCCTTTTGCTCTTGGTCAGGACATGTCTCAGGTACTCTCTGCTGCTCTTCTCCAATTAAGGAGATATCCAGCCCTGCTGGAAAAGATGCACATAAGCCCCTCTAGGATGAATCTCACTTCCTTGAGAAGGGGTAGGAACGAGCAGGTAGGAAGAAGGACCCCAGGGTTCCCAGCTCCCCACATCGTCCTCTTCTTGTGGTAATGGTGGTGTAGCTTCAACCAGGAGAGAGACTCACCTGGGCATGGACCTGGTGGAGTTACAAGGCAGCACGCAGCAGCACCAGCAACATGCTCAAAGCTAATTTGTGTCCAGAGATCCCTGGCTAATTCCTCTCCATCACAGCCACATGCCTGGCAATGTGGTGAGCGAACATCTCTAGCATTGTTCCTTGAAATTATCATTACAGACTGACGGAAGGAGAGAAGCTGGCAGGCTAAGATGCATTCACAAAAATATCCCCTCTAAAGTCAGCTTAAATAAATCTCCATCATCGTTGGGAGCGCTGCGTGGGAGAGCTCATGTCAGCGCGGCTGGTGAGGAGGTGGGCTTTGCTGCTCCTCTCCTGCCGCGTCGCCTTGGCCCCTGATGAGGTGTCACAACCTCAGCTGTGCTCCAGACACCTCCTCTCTCACACCAGGCCAGCCCTCGGCTCAGGCAGGGCTGTTGTGTCCCCCGAGTCCCCAAGCCATGACTCTGTGCAAGGCAGGGTATGATTGTTTGCTCAGCAGCTCCAGCTGGAGATGGTGATGGAGCCTGGGAAGGAGCCTCCCTGCTTTCCCTCTCCAGCACCAGCACAGAGCACAAGGCATGGCCTGCTGTGCCCTGTCCCCACTGCAGCCCTGGAGCAGGGAGGCACCCGGCCCCCAACACCATGCCAAGGGATATATGACACTCAGACTGTGGCAGGTGAGGGGAAAAGCCACCAGGATCAGAGCAGAAGGATGGGGCCCCAGGGTCAGCCCATGGACTTGGCAATGGAGCGGATGCGGTGCAGGCACAGTTGCTTGCCCTGGCAGCTGGAAGTCCCCACGGGGTGCCAAGGTGTGCCTGCAGACCCCCAGTGCTGGCAGGCAGATAACCCGCCTCCTCTGCCCCACAGGCTGGTCTCAGGGCGGGAGGAGATTAAAGCTGCTTCCCGAAGCTCACCCCAGCCCATGTCGCCCTCTGATTTCCTGGACAAGCTTATGGGACGAACATCAGGGTACGACGCCCGAATTCGACCCAATTTCAAAGGTAAGAGAGGATGTGAGGGTCCCAAACCTGGCAGCGATCCATGCTCATGGCTGCCCAAACCCAGGCAATGGGCTCTGGGGGCAGGACCCTGACCCACATTCCTCCATCTCAGCACCCTTCCCAGAGTCCCCGCTGCTCCTGCCGTCACGGCCACTCTGTGTGTGCCTGCTTTGTCTGACAGCACGGGCGTCTCAGTGCTTGCAGGGCGTGCTGGGGTTCACCCCGACACCCCCCGGGGGTGGCCCCAGCAGGCAGGGGGACGCTCATGTGCCCTGATCCACGGAGCACATGCAGGAGTTGTGTCCCCGCGTGTGCCTGCGCAGTGCCCGTGTCTCCGCAGCCAGCGGCAAGAGGAGGCTTCACGCTGTTTTCCAGGTCCACCCGTCAACGTGACGTGCAACATCTTCATCAATAGCTTTGGCTCCGTCACCGAGACCACTATGGTGAGGGTTTTGCCAGGGTTTGCATGGGCTCCTCCCCCAGTGCCTCGGGGGTGGCTGTGGCTGTGCCCGGGAGCATGTCGTCCCAGTGCCCAAGCCCATGGCTGTGCTTACAATGGCCCTATGACACGGGGCCCTTCCCTAGCACCAAGGTGGGGACATGCAAAGCCATAGCACATGGCTGTGAATTTTTCTGGGGTCAGTTAACCCAAGCTTGGCTGTGTGGGTCACACTCCCTGTTCCTGAGCTGGGAGAAAGACTCCCAGGAGGTCACAGCGAGGCAGCTGTAGGCAGCCTCCTTGGGTACATGAGGAACTCCTCTGAGGAAGCCCCAGGGCTAAAAATTCACCATTTGTGCTTCTGCAAAGCCTTAATACCATTAACCATCACATCAACAGGGCCACAAAGTCATATGCAGAGTGCTGCAAGCTGCAGTTACTGGTCTTCCTCCTTCTCCTCCTCCTCTCAGCTGCTGTGGCTTTGGCTTTTTAATTTCTCCCGGCTGCCAACAGCATGGAAAGGCTCCAGAGCTGCCCCTGCCCCAAGCATGATTAGTAGCAGGCAGGAGGCAACTGCAGGGTTGAGCCTCAGTGGGGGGAGCCCCTTCCACCTCCTCCTCCATCCCTTCTTCCTCCCCCTTCCCGGGCACCAGGGGGTGCTCCCAGCTGACGCAGTGCCCTCTGTCCCAGGACTACCGGGTGAACGTGTTCCTGCGGCAGCAGTGGAACGACCCCCGCCTGGCCTACCGCGAGTACCCCGACGACTCCCTCGACCTCGACCCCTCCATGCTCGACTCCATCTGGAAGCCAGACCTGTTCTTTGCCAACGAGAAAGGGGCCAATTTCCACGAGGTCACCACCGACAACAAGCTGCTGCGCATCTTCAAGAATGGCAATGTGCTCTACAGCATCAGGTAGAACCTTCTCCTCTGGTGCAGTGCCTGAGGGGGGAGGCAAGGCCTTCCATGGAGCAGCTTTTCCCTACTCACTGCCCCAACCCCCTCCTTTCCTCTGCCTCCTCCAGGCTGACACTGATCCTGTCCTGCCCCATGGACCTCAAGAACTTCCCCATGGACATCCAGACATGCACCATGCAGCTGGAGAGCTGTGAGTACCTAGGGGGGTTCAAGCTGTGCTTCTTCCCCCCATCTCATCCCATCCCAAAAGCTGGCATCTGCCCTCTCCTGAGGGAGGTGAGCAGGAAAGAGCAGTTGTTCAGGGCAGGGTTGAATGGGGTGCATGTCCCTCCCCGTCCCATGGCTCCCTACATCCCCTCCAGTTGGCTACACCATGAACGACCTCATCTTTGAGTGGCTGGAGGAGCAGGAGGCTGTGCAGGTGGCAGAGGGCTTGACACTCCCACAGTTCATCCTCAGGGATGAGAAGGACCTGGGCTATTGCACCAAGTACTACAACACAGGTGAGCACCCCAGGATCCTGCTGCCACCCCCTCCTCCTGGCCCAGGGGTCCCTCTCACCCATCAGGGCTGTCTTTCCCCATAGGCAAGTTCACCTGCATTGAGGTGAAGTTCCACCTGGAGAGGCAGATGGGTTACTACCTGATCCAGATGTACATCCCCAGCCTGCTCATTGTCATCCTCTCCTGGGTCTCTTTCTGGATCAACATGGATGCGGCGCCAGCCCGAGTGGGCTTGGGCATCACCACGGTGCTCACCATGACCACACAGAGCGCCGGCTCCCGGGCCTCCCTGCCCAAGGTCAGTGCTGGCTCCGTGCTGGGCTCCCCAGCTGCAGCCTGCCCGGGCACCCGAGGTGCCCACTGCCACCCCCAGTGCTCCAGAGGCTTGGCTGAGATACCACATGTGCTGAGGAGGAACACGGTGCTGCTTGGCTGGGCGAGCTCCGGCCCATGTGTCCAAGCTGAGAGGGCTCCTGTGGCTCTTGGCAGCAGGATGAAACTGGGGGGCAGGAGGGATGACAAGCTAGGCAGGGGCCAGTGGGTGCTTGAGCCCCCTCTCCCCCTGGCAGGTGTCCTACGTGAAGGCCATTGACATCTGGATGGCCGTGTGCCTGCTCTTCGTCTTTGCTGCCCTGTTGGAATACGCAGCCGTCAACTTTGTCTCCCGCCAGCACAAGGAGTTCATGCGCCTGCGCCGCCGCCAGCGCCGACAGAGGATGGTGAGTCCCCCCACCACCACTCTCACTGACATCTGTCCATCCTCAGCCCCTGAGGGGACACCCCAGGGCTGCAGGGCCACTTTCCAGCAGCCCCCAGCGCAGGGCTCGGCGCTGGGCTGTGTTCATTGCCCACGGCTTGTGGCCGGCTCCTCTGGGACACCAGGGACCCCCCGCCTGCCTGAGCAGCACAGGGCACAGCACCCTCGGGTGCCCCTGGCCTTGCTTAGGGTGCTGCCCTTCTCCTGCAGGGACACCCTCAGGCTCTGCTTCCTCTCAAAAAGTAGAAAAACAAACAGTGAGGATGGGGGGAAAACAGCCTTTCCTCTTACCTGCAGCCCCAAACCTGGGCTCCTTGCTGTGCCTCAGCGGTGACGGGGGCTCACTGCTGTGTCAGGGTGCTGAGGCACCAAGGGGACCTGGTGGCACCAAGGGGCAGGCCTGGGCTGCAGATGTGGAGAGGCAGGGTCCTTCACTCATGGAAATGGTCCTCCCCTCCGTCAGCCCATCAACACAGGCATCAGGCCTGTTTGGGGTGGGCATGTGGCTGCCCCACTCTCATTTCCTTGCCATAAACACACCGTGAGGCACCAGATCTCCACAGAAAACATGAGTACACATACACACCACACAGTGCCCTATGCAACCATCTGTGCTGAAGACAGATCCCCGTGCCAGGGCACTGCTGGAGGGGGGGTTTTCCCCCACACAGACCCCCATGTCCCCACTGTCCCCCAGAGCCGCTGCCCCGGGGCCGGGGTAGGGCCATGGGTCACCGGCTGTCCTGTTTCTGTTTGGTGCACACTGCTGGATGCCAAAAGGGCCTGAGCAGCGGGACGGCCAGCCTGGAGTCCCTGCGGCAGCTGAGCAGCCGGCACAGCAGCGAGCACACCTACGCGACGCTCTCGCAGCTCTCCAGCTCCCGGGTAAAGCACGACCCCCCTGGCAGCCCCTCCGTGCAGCGCAGCTCACCTTCCCCTCCCCAAAACAAGCCCCCCAGGAGCCGGCCCTGGGGGGGCCACAAGGGCCTGTGGAAGAAGCAGACCAGTGATTTGCACAGAGTATGTGCCAGTAGGATGGAACTGCCGCTCCGTGGGCTCAAAAGAGTTTTGAGAGAGGGATGGGAATGGAGCAGATCTCCCTTGTAGACACCCCCACTCTGTGCCTCAGTTTCTCCTTCTGTAAAACAATCCCCTTTGCTGAGGACTGAGTGATGCTGAGGCAGACTGATGGCTGCTCCTGGGCTGCTGCCCAGCTCCCCAGGCCATGCCCATTCCTCTGACAGGGTGAGGGCTCTCTCTGCCTGCCCGGCTGCCTCGGTGCAGGCAGGTTTGAGGCACTTGGGGCTGCCCGCAGTCACTCCAGCAGCTGCTCAGGGCACAAGGGCACTTTGCAGCTTGAGGCATAGGGAGGAGCGTGGGGCAGGACAGGCTCCCAGGATGGTGGGGAGGTGCAGAAGCTCCAGGGAGATCAGGCCTGGTTGTCCTTGCCGCCGCTCCACCTTCGTCAACCTCTGGACGCCAGGAGAGACTTCCTGGCTGTCCCCAGCACGGTCCAGTGCTCCCTGCCTTTCACAGCCCTTGAGCACCGACCCCTGCAGATCAACTCCCACCTGGCCAGGCAAGGGAGTGGGAGGTTCTGTATAACCCGAGGGCATCTGATGGCTTAGGACAGACCTCCCCGAGGTGGAGGCTGCAGAGCCACTCTGGGGTGCTGCTGACATGGCACTGGGTGCAGCCAGGAGCACCTCGGGATGCTCCTGCGACAGAGACCGGAGCAGAGCCCCACTGCACGCAGCTCCTGTGCTTGACAAAGCAAATCCCTCCCACAGACCACCCAAATCCACGCCCAGGAGCTCCCTGCACCCAGCCTTGGCCCCCAGTGAGCACCCTGGGGCTGCCCCAGCCCAGAGGGACCCTCTGGTGGGGAGGACCAGTCTGCCATCTCCTGGGGGAGTAGCTGCTGGCCCCCAGGACACACGGGCCTCTCCCTGCTTGGGCAGCCACAAGCACTCAGCCTGGGGCAGGGAAATAAAACTCCGCTGCAAATAAGAACTAATCTCAGCAATTTGAGCGGCTGCTGCTCTTCCTACTGAAAAATCTTGCTTAGACTGTAGATTGCTGAGTTAAATCAGGATGGCAGGGGACAAACTCTCTGCATGAGAGCCCCCGTGCCAGCCGAGCGCCTGCACGGGCTGAGCTCAGCGAGCAGGGCTGCTCTCTGTGTCCTGGAGGGCAGTGCCGGTTGCAGATGGCGTTTGGGATCCAGCACCGAGGCTGCGGGTGGGCATGGCACAGGGAGGGCACTGGCCCTGGGAGAAGGGACCCTCCACGGCCGGATGCAGCACAGGCAGGGCAAAGGGGAGACGAGTCACAGAGACCAAATGAGTCCAAATGAGCCCAGGCACTCAGTAAAACATCAGATGTGCAGCCTGTGCTTGCACATGCCTGTCCCTCGCCAAATCTTTGCGCACACGACCCTCTCCAAGGATAACAGAGCAGGACAAGGCACGTGGCTGACAGTGCACAGCTGTTGGTGGGGAGGAGTGCAGGCACTGCTGTGAGGGACTGTGAGGCAAGCAAGGCTGTGCCCTGAACAGTGGCAGTGGGCTGTGACTGGAGATTTTTGTGGCGTTTTTGCAGCCTTGATCATGGGGATGCAGCTCTGTGGACACGCTGCCCTCTCTACAGCCCCCTGCCAGCAGGGCAGGAGACAGGCTGAGCAAGGGCAGAGAGCTCAGCAAGGAGACAAGCTCTCTCAGCCTCCCTCCTCTGCTGCACCAGTCAGCCCCCGCCAAGCAGACATGGGGAGAAATGAGTGTCTGGGCCCTTGGAAGGACTGGGGGGCCCTTCAAGCCCTGGTGGTAGCCAGGCTCCTGCATCCCTGCCTGGGTCTGCCCCAGCAAGATGCCTGTCCCCTCCTGTTCACCACCACAGGCACACTTCCACCCTGCAGCAAACACAGCTGCCACAGCAGTGCCTGCACCCCTGACACCCCTGCACCCCCATGTGCCCATCCTCCCCCTCCCACCAGTTCACCCCCATGCCCAAGAGCTGGGCTTCTCAAGCCCCCGAGCTGGAGCCGGGAGGAGGCTGGGGGGATCTGTGTCGGGCTGGAAGGGCCAGGGTTGCCTTTGGATGCACCCCTAAAACGTGCTGGGTGGGAAGGCCATGGGTCAGCACTCACCCCCATCCCTGTGCACACCACTGCTGGTCCCGTGCTCCTGCCTGCATGGCTCAGGCTCTTCGAAAAAGCACCCAACCTCACACCAGGCACTCATCACCCAGCACCACAGGGTGGGTAGGACATGCAGCCACAAGCAGCTGCTCGCCCTGCAGCACCAGCACCCGTGGGTGCCCTGGCTGACAGCCTTTCCCTTCGCCAGGAGGAAGAGCTTGTCCGTGAGAGCCGCTTCTACCTGCGAGGCTACGGGCTGGGCCACTGCCTGCAGCCCAAGGATGGGGCTGGGGAGGGCCCCAGCATGTACAGCCCTGCTCCAGCCACTCCAGCCACGCTGCTGCGGGAGGGGGAGGCCCTCCACAGGCGCTACCTCGACCGGGCCAAGCGCATCGACACCATCTCCCGAGCCGTCTTCCCCTTCACCTTCCTGGTCTTCAACATCTTCTACTGGGTCGTTTACAAAGTGCTGCGCTCGGAGGACATCCACCTGGTGCCCTGAGGCCTGGAAAAGTACGACTGCCTGTCTGTCTGACCCCCCACAGTGTGCCCGGGCAACACAAGCTCAGCCAGAACTGCATTTCCCTCTGTCCCAGAGCAGCGGCTCAGCTGGGCTGGGCCTCAGAGCCTGGACATGTGGCAGCCCATTCCCCACTGGATGTCAGGGCACCAGGCAGGGGGATCAACAACCGCAGGTCCCCACAGTCAGCTGGAGAGAGGGACCCTTCCTAATTCCTGCATGGTGTCACCCCCAAGTACCCAGGGATGCTGATCTGCTGGGGAAGCCCTAGGTACCCGGGGATGCTGTGCTGACAGGGCACAGGGGAACAAGTACTACCCAGGAATGCACTGCTGGATGGCACAGGGGAGCCCCTGGTACTCTGGCATGCTGCACAAGACAGTGGCCAAAGAACATCACCTTCCAGAAAAATACTCTCCCCCTCCACACCTACCCAGTTAGGCTGTGGCTTCTCCAGGCTGCATCATGGAGCTGAGGGCCACGAGAAGCAAGGGGAGAGGCTGCAGTTCTCTCTCCTCTAGCCTGGAGCTCGGTTGCAGGAAAGGCTGGACTGTATGGGGTGCTGGCTACGGCCCCATAGCCCCCAGCCCAGCAATGGACAGGGCCCCTCCAGCCCCCAGCCAGCTCCAACGCACAGCAAAGCAGTGGATGAGGGATGCTTCCCTCCCTGCACAGCTCAGAACTGCCCATGGTGCCCACGGCTGCAGGCAGGACTGTGGCAGGGGCACTGGACAGGAGGCTCTGTTTGCTCCAAGGCAGTGCCAGCTCTGAGGCAGGCAGCAGGCAATCCCAGTCCCGCTGATGGCGAGGGGGCAGAGATGGCCACTGCAGTTGCAGATGGCAGTCACTGGGCACTGGGGAGCCAGCACTGCACTATCAGCCGGGTAGGGCCCACAGCCCATCTTCCAAGGGAGTTTTTCAGGATGAAAGCAGTGGGGACAGCTTGGCTGATCCTTTTGGGTGAGCAGAGTGAGTGGTGGCATCCCCAGACTGCTGCATTCCCACAGCACCACAGTGCCAGCAGAGAGCCGGAGGTGGAAACCAGCCTGTTCCCCAGCCTGGCACCTGGGTGCAGCATCCCCTGGACATTTTCACCCCTGTTACCCCTCCACTGGACAGGAAAGCAACTGAAACCTTGACAGGACAAGCTCAGCAAGGCTTCCAGCCCTCCAGACCTGGATACCCTCCATGCTTAGCAGGAAATAAAAGCAGTAGGTAACATTTATGTAGGTCCTACAGAGAGAAACGTGTTGATGTTCTCCTTTCCCTCTGCCCACAGTCAGCCTGGGTGGGCTTGCAGCCCATCCCCTCCACAGCATGGGAGCCAGGGAAGGCCCAGTGTCTTCCAGGTAGGGCAGGATGGAAACAGGATTTTCCCCTTTCCCTGAAGGCTGAGGTGCCCCCATGGCACAGCAGTGACCCACCTGTCATGGCAGAATGGACCCTGCGGGGCAGGGGGACATGGGCAGGAGGCCAGCACTGCCTTCTGAAGCCAGACCCAGGAAGAAACCCCTGCTATGACCCCTGCCCTGGCTCCTCAGGCAGGAATCACCCTTTCCCTCACAGGACTGGGAGCATCGCCCTGCCCCACCCGACCCCCTGAACCCCATAGAGTCCTCAGCCACGTGCACCCATTCCACAGACTGGGCAAGCAGAGAACTGGCCCCAGGCCACCCCACGAGAGGACTGAGGGACCCACAAGGACAGGCTGGGCCAGCTCCATCCCATCACCACCTCTGTGCATGCCTCCCCCACCGTGGGGTTCCCTGTGGGGCCCCACCCCGTGTCCAGGCCAGACTCGCTTTTGGGGAGGCCCTGTTTGGAGGCAGAGGAAGGGGTGTCCCTCGGCTCCCCAGCACCCAAGGCAGTGCCAAATGGGGAGGTACCAGAGTCTGAGCAGCACCCACAGGCACTGGGCAGCCACACCAACCTCCAGCAGTGGTGGGTTTTTAAACAGCATCAATCTTCCTACGCAAATAAAGCTTTCTGGGGTTTTCAGTGGTGTGCTGGTGATTTGTCTCTGCCAAGAACCCTGCAGCCAGCTCCTGCTCCCAGCGGGGCCCCAGTGTGTTGAGGGAACAAGGGCACGACCACCCTGTGGGGACAGGAGCCCTGATCTGCCATTAGTCACAGATGTCATTACCTCCACGGGTGATTTTTATGACATCATGTTTATCTCCCCCGTGGGAGACGCCAGCAGGGATGGGCAGGAGCCCCGTGCAAGCTCCCAGCCCCAAGCCCCATCACTCTCCCTCCCCACCCAGCTCTGTAGGGTGCTCCCCACGGTCACCCCAGCCCCTTTCCACCCCATCCAGGCTTGGCTGGGAGACAGGACCCGGGATGAGGCAGAGGTGGGGACAGGGGGGCTCTGGCTCTGCAGTGGAGCTCAGACACCCGAGCATGTGCAGCCTCCCGACGGATAAACCTCCCTGCCTGGCCCCTCAGCCCCTCCGGGCTGCTCGCTGGGCAGGCGCCAGCCTTACAGAGCTGCCAGCTGTGCTGGGGGGCTTACGCCAGCCCTGCAGTGCCACCCGGGGCCAGGGCTTTTGTCCCCAGCTGGTGCATGGGCGGGCAGAGCCCACAGCTGAGGGCTGAGAGCCCAAGCAAACATCAATCTCCCTCTGTCCTCCCAGCCAAGTTTCACAGACCAGCTCTGTTGGTACCTCGCAGCCCCATCGCCCGCCCGGCCCCACCGAGGCCTTCAGAGGCAGGGAGGAGAGAAAGCAAGCTGCAACCATGCTGGCTGGGTCCAGGGGCTGTTCTTTAGAGGGGACAAACGAAACTTCCCCAGAGTCTTGATCTCATCCCCACCCCAAACCTAGAGGGGACGCAGCCAAGGGGAGAGCCATGAGATACTTCACAGCAGTACAGTGCACCCAGATCCTTCACTCCCTGCTCTCCTTCTCCTCTCTTGCTGGATGTCAGTGCCTGTTTGGAGACAAATGCTGCAGCTTCATAAGCCCCAAGCCACTCAGCTCCTGGAAAGAGTGCATCCCAGAAAAAATGGAAAATGATGTAAAAAATCAACACATCCAGCCTAAGCCCAAGCCCCCAGGTCCCATGCACTGGTCACTGCAAGGTGGGGGGGCTCATCACTGGCATTAAACACTTCCAAAGGCATGAGGGGAGCACTGCTCCGTGGCCCCACAGATCCTCCTGATTTGGATGTCCCCAGGGAAGTTTCAGGGTCAGGAGCAGCACTCAGTCCCTGCCCAGTTTGGACTGGGAGCTGCTGGGACACCCAGGCAGCTGCAGGGCTGTCCCTGCCCTCCAGCACACAGCTCCTCACATCCTGGGGACAGCAGCAGCACCCGGGCTGGGGGTGCTGAGCCCCATGTGTTCCCACAGGTCACAGCGTGGCCAGGGGCTCCATCCCCCAGCAAAGCCCACAGCCTTTGGACAGAGTCAGTTTTCCATTCTCCACCCAAGGCTGTGCACTGGGGGGTGCATCCCAGCCACCACAGGAGGCAGCTCTGGGCACAGGACCAACAGCCAGGGCCGAGTTAATTACTGGTTTAAAAGGAAGTTAATGAAGTTAACACCAGGTTAATGGGGCTCCCATTAACAGCAAAATGAGCATCATCAACACTGGCAGTTTCCCCACAGCCTGCCAACAGCATGCCCAGGGCCAGGAGCACACACGGGTTTGGGGCAGCCCTTGCCAGCCCCAAGGGATCCTTGGAGGCCCTCTGTGGGTCCAAGAAAAAGTGCCCTTGGCTGGGCACTGCAGTGGCACACCAGCCAGGCCCCTGCTCTGCCAACCACAGAGGGCCTGATCCTGCTGGAACTGAGCTCTGCTGCTCTCCATGGGCAACATCAGGGCGCCCAATCTTCCCTTGTTCCCCCTCTCCTTCACTCATCCACAACCTGGAGCTCCCTTGGGGCAACACCAGCTGCCAGAGGTTTAGCCAACCATCCTGTCTGGATGCAGCAATGCCTACAGGACAACATGTCCCACAGCAATCAGGACTCTGGGTTTGAAGCCAGGGGAGTGCAATGCATAAGGAACAGGCATAAGGAACAGGCGACAGCTCTGCTGGGGCTCTGAGCAACCCCTGCACATCGCCTGGGCACAGAATTGGTTTTTTAAAGAAAATACCAAGCTCCAAAGTCAGCCAGGCAGTTCTGAGCGGGCCAGGGCTGCCCCTTACAAGTGGGGAAACGGACACAAGAGGAAAGCACCAGGAGCTGCTGCTGGGATGGGCTGTGCCAGGGGCACAGGGCCCTTGCAGGACCACAGACCCACAGGGACAGGAACCCTCCATCACAGGGAAGGTCCAGGCGCAGGGTGCTCTGGCAGTGTGGCTGTGCCAGCACCCCAGCCCTCAGCACAGCTCTGCCAGTGATGCCCCCACGACAGAGGAGTCCCAGTGCACCCCTCTGCCACCTAAGATGCGGCAACACACCACTGCCTGTCAGTCCCACCAGGGCCCTGCCAAACCCCACATCACCAGGGCCACATCCACCCCACTCTCAGCACAGCTTTGGGACTGCTCTGGGGACACCAGCCAGCCCATGCAGCCCACAGGGCACCCTACAGCTCCCCAGCCCAAGGGGTGTAGGTGTGCCAGGTGCTCCTGGGAACAACAGGACAAGCAACAGGAAGCAACAGTGAGGAAGGGCCGGAACGTGGAGGCAAGCAGGGATCAGCCCTGCAGCTCTCCCGAGCCCTGGGAATACGGGATAACAGCCCAGCTCCAGACTGCCGTTTTGCACAAGAGAAAACAAAGCCATGAGGTTTTCCAGCCCCTAGAGTGTCTTGTTTTGTCCGACATAGAGAAATCTCTGCGCTTCGGCTCCCCAAGGGGCAGGGAGAGGACCCAGGCACTGGAACAAGGAGTGATTATCAACCCACGGGCTCTGAAGGGCTTTTGTTCCCTGGATGTGCCAGAGCAGGGATCGGAGGACACCTAGCGAGATGCCTGGATGGCCCCAGCACCAGAGGCACCCGCAGCCTGGGGCCACAACCCACAGCCCTGCAGTGGTTCCATCCTGCTCCCCTCCTCCTGCTGTGCTGGGGGCCACGACAAGAGCTCTAGTGGGGCTGCAGGGGCTGGTCCAGCCCTGGGGAGAAGCACAGGGGAGAAGAACTGGTGTTATGAGTGACAGAGGGGAAGAGCACAGGGCATAAGGTGTTCGAAGAAGGAAGGCTCTGTCAGGAGCTGCTCACAGAGGTTTTGAGGCAGGGCTGAAAGACCAGAGCCAAAACCAAATCCTGGGCCCGTGGGGTACAACCCCCCTTCCCCAGGACCCTGTGCTGACACACAGAGCTCACATAGACCCACCACCCTGTGCTTGGGACAGCCCCCAGTGCCCCCAAACCCTGGGGCAGCTCCAGCACTGCTGAGCCCAGGCACAGGGACACACAGCTGCAGGAGCAGCAGCAGGACACACAGGCCTGGCAGCAGGAATGAGGCACACACAGAATCACAGAACCATTTAGGTTGGAAAAGACCTCTGAGACCATTGAGTCCAAACGGTGACTGAACACCACTGTGTCAACCAGACCATGGCACCAAGTGCCACATCCAGTCTTCCCTTAAACACCTCCAGGAACAGTGACTCCACCACCTCCCTGGGCAGCCCATTCCAATGTCTAATCACCCTTTCTGTGATTAAGTTCTTCCTAATCTTCAACCTAAACTTCCACTAGTGAGGCTTAAGACTATGTCCAGTTGTCCCTTGTTCCCTGGGAGCAGAGCTCGACCCCACCTGGCTCCCCCCTTCTGTCACGGAGTTGCTGAGAGCCAGGGTGTTCCCCCTGAGCCTCCTTTTCTCCAGACTGAGCCCCCCAGCTCCCTCAGCCGCTCCTGGTGCTCCAACCCTTCCCCAGCTCCGTCGCCCTTCTCTGGACTTGCTCCAGCCCCTCCATGTCCTTCATGAATCAAACTGGACACAGGATTTGAGGTGCGGCCTCACCAGTGCCCAGCACAGAGGGACAATCACTGTCCTGGTCCTGCTGGCCATGATATTGCTGGTACAGGCCAGGTGCCATTGGCCTCCTTGCCCACCAGGCAGACACACAGGGCCTCCCACCCCGGGGGCACGACATCCTCCTGAGCACCTCCTGGTGCTGCGGCGACCCAGTCAGGCAGGAAGGGACCTGGGAGTTTGGATTGACAGGAAGCTGAACATGAGCCAGCAGTGTGCCCAGGTGGCCAAGAAGGCCAATGGCATCCTGGCCTGGATCAGGAACAGTGTGGCAAACAGGTCCAAGGAAGTGATTCTTCCCATGGACTCAGCACTGGTGAGGCCACCCCTGGAGTGCTGTGTCCAGTTTTGGGCCCCTCAGTTCAGGAAGGACATTGAGGGGCTGGAGCAGGTCCAGAGAAGAGCAACGAGGCTGGGGAAGGGACTGGAGCACAAGTGCTGTGAGGAGAGGCTGAGGGAGCTGGGGGGGCTCAGCCTGGAGAAGAGGAGGCTGAGGGGAGACCTCCTCACTCTCTACAACTCCCTGACAGGAGGGGGGAGCCAGGTGGGTGTCAGTCTCTTCTCCCAGGCAACCAGCAGCAGGACAAGAGGGCACAATCTTAAGCTCCGAGAGGTTTAGGTTGGATAACAGGAAGAAATTTTTTACAGAGAGAGTGATCAGACACTGGAATGGGATGCCGAGGGAGGTGGTGGATTCTCCATCCCTGGAGGTTTTTAAGATGAGACTGGATGCGGCACATAGTGCCACGGCCTGGGAACCACGGCGGGGTTGGATCAAGGGTTGGACTTGACGATCTCGGAGGTCTTTCCCAGCCCGGCCGATCCTACGATTCCCACGATCCCGCGACGCGGCCCCCGCCACGTGCCTCGGGCGCCCCTCACGTGACGCGGCCCTCACGTGACCCTCCCGCGGGAGGGCGGGCCCTCCGGCAGCGCCGCGCCCGGCGATTGGCTGCGCGGACAGGGCCGGCTCGCCGGCGATTGGCCGCCCGCGGCTGTCCGTCAAGGCGGCGGCACGATGGCGCCGCGCTGGGTCTCGGGGGTGATGGTGGCGGCCGCGGTGATGG